GACAAGGGGAAGGAGAAGGAGGGAGGGAAGCTGAAGGCAGGACAGACTAAAAAAAAGGTGTGGAGCCTTGAGGAGAGGGAATTGAACTGGCGTAGGATAAAGCTGTCCAAGCAGCATAGCTGCAGAGGGCAGGAGCACAGCATGTGGAGGGCAGGTGTTTTCTCTGGAACACATGCCAATTGACTGCACTCCTGCCTGGAGGATGCAGGCACCTTGCAAAGCCTCGCTATTACTACTGCCTAGTCAGAATTGCTTCAAGTTTAAAATTGAGAAAACATTCATGTGTGGGTCTACCTAAAGTTAGTGCATTAGCTTTTACACGTAGCCACGCTTAGGGATCCAAGGAGCCCGTCAAGGAGGGCCACATTTGTTCCTCCAGTGTCTGGCATCCTGTGCCTGCACTGGCTGGCAGCCAGTCCCATCGCTGTGAGCCGGGCTCTCCCCAAAGCACTGAAGCAAGCCCCAGCAGCAGCCGGAGGAGCAGGAGCAGGTGTGTCAGTGCCTGCAGTTGCTTGCCATAACCAACATTCTTGGATGCTGACCCCGTCAGGTTACAATGACATTTATTCTTCTGGCAGACACAGCGCGGTTCCACGGTTAAAACGAATACAGCACGGGGCAGGGATTTGCCAAATCCCCGAGTAAGCTCACATGCTCCTAACAAGGGCTGTGTCAACAGGGCTGGCTGCTCCTAAGGGAGGGTCTGCTAAGGCTTTGTCCTGCAGCTGCTGGGTTTTAGACACAGCCTTGCAGCCTGCAAGCAGACACCCCTTTTGCTGCCGGCAAGTCCTCTATGGTCTTTTTATGTTGTTGAAAGTGCAGCATCGAAGTATTTGTACTGAGAAACCTCTGAACTGACACTAAGAGCACATGGTGTCATGTTAACAAGTATAAATTAAAATATTAAATCCACACAAAATGAAGTTTAACATCAAAAAATAAATATATAAATTAAATGCAAAACAAACCATTTCCCTAGAAACTCCATTTTAGTCCTAGGAGCCAGTTTCTAAGTAGCGTTTTCTTTATGTCAGCTGCCAGAAAACTAGCACTGAGACTGAAGTGTCCCAGGCAAGCACAACACAGGGTCCTAGGATGCTTATTATGGAGTCAGACCTCGGCTCAGGGCCAAGCACAGTGGGTGACACAGCAGATGGAAATACCTTTGAGTCGTATGTCAAGCCTTGCAGCATTACTTTATCTCATCTCTCCTTGCCCAGAGCACACCCTACTGCCACTCTCTTTTGTCTTACAGGAAGATGAAAGCCATCTTTGTGATAAGACCCTCCTGCGGTGCTCTCAGATGTGGCAGAGGCTCGTTGGTGCTGCAGGCTCAGGGCATCCGAGCACTCGCACTCCTGGAGCTGCTCTCCTGGCAGGGGCTGGGAGCCCCACAGCTGGAGTGGCGCTACATGCCCAGGAGGCTCTGGGCGATGCACTCACGGCACACACCTGCACTTCTGCCAGGATGGCCAGAGAGCAAGGACAGGCACCCACAGCAGGGGTGCGAGCAATGGGCTGTGAGCTGCCAGGTGTGCACAGGACAGTTTTGACAGCCCCTCATCTATACTGGCACCGAGTCTGCAGGTCCCTGCCATGGGTGTGGAGGAACTAAAAGCAACTGCGCCAACTAAACGACTTCCCCCAAGCGTTTTTGGAAGGGGTTCTCTTTCCTCACCCCACAGGTTCTATTCCCCACACCCTGGACACATAGCAGGACAACAAAAACCCTGAACACAGCTCAGAGGCCTGGGCCGCTGGCAGCGAGGAAACTGCTGCTGCTTGCAGAGCTGGCACACATCAGCTACGCTGGCCAGGCGCTCGCCTCTCTCAGTACAGCATGCAGGTCCCACAGCTGCCTCACTGCAATCCTCAAGAAAGCCTTTGGTTTACAGGGACAGGGAGGTTTCTCGTACATTTTAGGCCAACAACGGCCAGGCTTGTTTCAGCCCTTCTGCTTTAGAGGGGGCTGTAGTTGTGCGTTTGGGTACTTTTTGTGTGACTGTTCAGGCAACAGCCCCTCTGTGCCTCCTGCTGTCACACCGCTGATGTGCAGGAGTAAGTTGGACACTCTGTGTGCAAAGCTCTAGTTAGCAGGTTAGGAATATGCTCTTTGTAGCAAAGAACAACTGGCTGAACCCTCCCCTCCCATTGCCACCCCCAAGCAAACGTCTCCTTCATCCCAGCTCCTTGAGCACAGCGAGCAGGTGTTGCAGGATGCCACAACCAAATGCTTGGGACAGAAACCTGCAGACCTGGCAAGCGGTGGTCCTGCCTAGTTGGAGTACAGGTCCCCTTGCTCAGAACACCACCTGTATGTTCAGGATGGGAGATGGAAGAACGACCCTCGCTGACATGTTACAGTTGGAGAGTTTCACCTTCCCTCATCTCCTAGGTGCATTTTCTTCGCAAATTAGTTTTCTTCTCTGCCCCCGCCTGCCCCCCATGCACTGTCTACATGCAGCAGCAGCACTTCAGCCCTCACCAAAAAGATGAGGTTCATGGTGCTACAAGTTAAATGGCAAGGCAGCCAGGAAGAGAGTAGAACAAGCTCTCACAGCAGCAAGGCAGCCAAGATAGTATACAGAAACTGTACAGGCAGCAGAATAAAGCAGGGAAAGTAAAAGTGCCCCTGGCCTGCAACTGCTCTTGCACAAACTCTTAGCTCAGTCCAGAATATTACAGAGCCCTGCACTTCTTTCTCATGGCATCCAGTGCTGAGCTAGATGGATACCCGATTGCCTGACAAATGGGAACCACGTAGAGGACTAAACCAGAGAAGAACTGGATGTATGTCTCTGATGTTGCATCGGTGATTGGAGAATCAATGGATGAACGCAAAGTGTGGAGATTTAGAATTCGATCTTACAGGCTGGAAAAGATTCATCCTGCATCACAACAGTGCTGCTGCTTGCCAGTACCATGATGTTTAGCTCCTGCTGTTTCTCATGAGTCTGCTGGTACCATTCTCGTGTCACCTCAGTATCATGTGTTGGGATCAATGTCACCTGGGAAAAGAAAGCAGCAGGGATGATTGTCTGAGAACAACTGCAGTGACAAACAATGCCCATAGGAGCTGAGGCTAAAATTTCCCATTGATTTTGGAACACTGTACCCTTGGTACTGCTTGTTCTATTTAATGTCTTTCAGATGTCAGGTTCTCCACAACAGAGCTGGTGCTTTATTTTATGCAGCACCAGCACACTAGCGCTCTGAGCTGGCCACGAACTGGCAGTACTAACACCATAATGATGAAAATGGCTGCACTGCAGGGGAGAGCATCTCTCTGTGGAGCTCCAGAAACAGCCTCAGAAAGAATCCTCAGTGTGAAAAGGAACAATGCTGAACGTGTCACTGTTGATGGCCTGATATTAGACTTTATGTGCCTATTGACCCAATGTGCAACTCGGGGATCCTGAGATCTGAGACTACCTCATCTGGAAGAACATATGCACTTTCTTGTACCTGTCTTCAGAAAGAGTGCCCACCTAGGATGTCCTGCAAACCTGACTAAGCAAGAACTATATGTAAGAGCACTCTGGTTTAAAAGCACTAATAAAAAGCTGCTATCAGAAAGATCTCCAGCAAGGCTATCAACAAATGTCACTGGATGTGGGACACTGATGAAAATTCACTGTGATGGTCCTTGTTTTCACTTGTGGATCGGCTCATCTTGCAGCAGGTAAGGAGGAGTGTATGATCTCTAAATGCTTCCTCCCCTCAGAAGGATGTAGAAAGGAGGACCTTCCTGCTTCCACTCACGCCATTTTGCGGGTGTCCTCCTCCTCACGGGTACAAACAGTTACTCTTTAAGACTGCAGAGCAGGACATGCCCAGTACCATTTGCCTCCTCTTAGTGTACTCCCTCCGGGTATGTTTGTGACACACACTTTCTCCCCAGCACTTGTGTCACAAGGAGCATCACACACACACTCCTTGGCATTTCCATGACCTACCTGCAGGTTGTCCCCCCACTGAGACTTCCCCTCCAGTAGCGCATCCAACACTGCACGGCTTGGCTCTCCATTGGCTGCATCATTCCCACTCACAACGTAATATGATGCTCGAACCCGCTTGAAGAACTCTGGATCTGTGTTCTTTCCGCTGCAATGGTTGGGGATGTATGCCAGGTCCACATAGACAGGTGGACCCACGGGCACGGGCAAACTACTCTTAGGACTATTGGAAGCTTTGGAAAAAAGAAAACAGAGGCTATCAAAACCCTTCTGGGACAGACAAACACTCAAATTAACACTGAAGGACTTGAATTGCAGAAAGATATTTCCCTGCAGCTGTAGCAACAAAGTTAAGATTTATCCAGGCTCTGCTGCTCAGAGGTGACTGGGGCCAGTGCTGCCACAGCTCTTGTCAGGGAAAGGGAGTTCTGCTGTTCTTTGGGGGGGGGACTGGAAGGCTTTAGGCTCAGAGGCCTTTCCTGGGGAAGGGAATCAAAAATCTCCATTATTAGCTTCTGTGGAGCTGTCGTCCCAATCGATATTTAGTCCTATTTTTTGTTGTTTAATAACCTACATTTGATAAAGAAACCAGTTCTGATGGCCTTTATATGCTATCCTAGGGCATTACGGTAGTCTTTCTGGAAGCTCCATTCTGGCCTTCTGCTGTTCCTGTGAATCGCTGCTATTCCAAGGGCTGTATTGCTCTTTCTTATCAACCTTTTGTACCTCTTTTCTTCATTTGCTGCTGCTTACATTTATGAGATAAGAAATGGTCAAACAACAGCTGTAATACTCAGCAATATATATGCATATATATACACACACACACACACCCCCCCCCATAGAAGGACTGTCCCTTCTCTCCCTCCTGCTCTCTGTGAAACTATCTCTGGGTGGTCTCTTCTGTGAGCAAAAAGCCACTAACTACTAGCAGGGACAACTCATTGTGCTGCCTAGCTGCTATGCAAACAAAATATCCCTGCCTGCCTCATCCAGCCTTACGGATGTCTAGTCCTCATCCCAAGTTTGATCTGGCAACTCACAGCACCGCTCTGTGCACAACCGCTACATCCTGTATCTCTGTCTCAACCCTCCTTTCAGACTCGCGTATCCAGGCACTGCATTGTGCCAGTCCTTTCTGTGCAGCGCCTCTAAGACATGACTGTTCTGTACAGACACTCTGCTAATACCCTGGTGCAGGCTCTCTTGATACAGACCCTATTTGCTTGTCGGCTGTTCACGAACGCCAGCTGGCTCAGTCCCTCTTCAGCCCACATTCCTTCGCAGAGCCCTCCCCGGCCCGGCACTGTGACCACCTCACTGCTCCATCCACTGCTTTCCTCTCACTCCCCACTACGCTGAGCAGTCCCTTCACCAACCGCTCGGCCTGTCCATCGCCCTTGCTGTCAGTGACACCAGTTTGTCTCACCTGAGCTGCATTTGCAAAACACACACACACAGAAGGGCTCTTTTCAGGTCTTCCCCTTCAGCTGCTCTCACTCAAGAGGAGCTCACTGTAGCACCTCTGCAAACCTTCCCCCACTACACCCTCTCTTTGCCACCATGTCTGCAACAGGCATCTGCAGAGACCACAGCACACCAGCCATGTTTCAGATTTCTCCCTGGCCCTGCCCACCTTCTGGCTCTTGTCTTACACTCAGCACCAATGACCTGGAGCAAAGGATTAGTATTTGCTCTCCCTCTGTAAAGTGCCTGCCACTACGGGGTCTCAACACAGACACAGCGACGATGCAATACTCTGTCACCTAGTACTGACATCACCTGGTAGGATACCAGTAGAGCACTGGTCCCTGTATGAACACTCAGCAAGAGTCCACAGGCTGTACAGACATTTGAGGCTGTGCCCTGTTTCACACCTTTATTTAGGAAAAAGAGAAGACCTTAGTTTCCAACAGTCGGACTGCCTATTCAATGCCCTGTGAGTGGTACTCAGATGTGGGAGCCGTTATGATCCCATCTCTGCTTAACATTTCAGAGGAAAGACATATCCGACCACAGCAGTGTCCTGCTATTCGAAGTGACAGATTTATCTCAGTCCAGCACAATCCCACTCACAGGCTGAGAGGTTGCCACCTCTTTTTAAAACACACACGTATTTTGTCCTTCAATTTCTGGCACTTGACAGCACCCACCTCTAAATACCAACTGACCCTCCACAGATGTAGCCCCTGGGTGAAACTGAATCTTGGCCTATAAAGTTCTGAACTAGGTCTCACAGCTCTGTCTCTCTTCAGAGGTGGTTGCATTTGGCTCTACGGAGGTTGAGAGTTTTCCTTGAGGATTTGATCTTTTTAAGAAGTGATTTGTGTGACAACCTCTCTACCTTATCACTGCTTATAACTTTTTATGCCTGACTGGGAAGTCTTGTTCTCTGTTCTGCTACATTTAACTCGGTGCTTTTTTCTCTCTGTGTTGGACCTAAAGAGAAAATGCATGCTTAAGGAAGAATTTCTTACCTGGGTTTGTTTTGATGCCATTAACAAGGCTCTTGCCAGGGTTGCTGTGACTACTCCGGGATAACTCATCCTCTGTGTGAGTAGGCTGCACCAGCGCACCACGTGGTTTGGGCTTCTCTCCTCCATCTCTTTCTTTTTTTGCAGTAACAGATTTTGGAGATTTGTCCGATGGCTGTTTCACAGGAGTGGGTGATCGTTTCCCTTTCACATCTACTTTCCGGGCAGGCGAGGAAGATTTGGGCTTGCTCAAAGGCTTCCTCACACCTTTGTTCTTTTCTTTTATGTCTTTCTTGGAAATTTTATCAGTTCTGCTCATGCTTTGCTCATTTACCAACATATCAGGGTCTACCATGCAGACGTCAGGGTGAGGAGGATGGGGATGGGGATCTACCATTGGAACAGGCTGAGGATCATGGCTGGACCTAGAACTGGCATGATGAGCATTCCCAACAGCTTTGTCCACTGGGAGGAAATCGGCATCCTCATCTGAGTCCATGTTGGCATCTGCTGTGATGGATGGACATTCTTCTGTCTCAGGCGGGACATCCGAGTCTGACTGGGAGGTTCCAGAATCACTCACTGATGTTGGAGGGGTTTCCTCCACTGTGGCACTTTGCATGGGGCTACTACCAGTGTGGGGTGGTCTTCCTTGCACTGAAGGATGACCATCCTCCTGTGAGAGGTCACTATCTTCAGAGAGCTCGTGAGGGCTCGGGTTGATGAATGAGGGAGAGAGCTCCCCCTTCCTGTGCTTGTATTCACACGAGGAAAATTTCTGTCCACAATCAAAACTGCCTCCTAAATGTGGCTCCATCTCATGGGAAGCATCTCCATGGTCCTCTGTTTTTCCACCCCTCTGCACATCTGGGAAAAAGGGCTGGAAACTGTGTTCAGGGGACATCAGAGAGGAAGGACGGCTTTGCCTCTCTGTGTCCTCTTTGCCTGCGCACGGAGAAAAACTGCCGTCAGAATCGGGACAAGTTTTTTCATCTTTTGCCTCTGCTGCATGGTATGTACTTTGGAAAGCTTGCAGACTGGTGCTCACCTCTGTTGGACCATTGGCTGTGGTTTCATCTTCATGGTGATGATGAGGAAATGATGTCAACACATCAGGAAGAGATGTCAGTGTCATCAGCTGTTCTGCAAATGGTGCCTTCTGCTCTGGACTGCTTACACAGGGTTGTCGTTGTTTCTCTGCAGAGAACGGTGTGGCCTGTGAACTCTGGCACTCCCTTCTGCATGGTGAAATGCTGTCACCCATGCCACTTGTGAAAAGAGAACCATGTTCTTCAGCAAACACAAAGTCTTTGGTTTCAGCTGTATGTGTTTTCACAGCGTTATCTGGAATCTGTGGAGACACATCCCAAAGACTCCTGGTACCTGGTTCTGCTCCTGCACCCGTGTATGTGGAAAGCATATGGGAGTAGAAGCTTTCTGCTGCAGTCGGTATCACAGGAGTGGTAGCTTCAGATGAAGGTTCCTCTGACAGGCTGGAAGAGTCATCTTTCAGCTGCTGTTGGGGCACAGATTCTTTTTCCACAGCTTTGGAGAACAACTTATCTTCTTCATATGGACTCAGTGGTGAGAATTTAGTAAAAGATGAGTCAAGGCTGCTGATTTTCTCAGAAACCTCCAAGTACTCATCTTTCTTCCCCTGGTCTGAAAGCAAAGCACAAGGAGCCTTTAAAGGAAGAGATATATCCCCGAAATGGCTTGCTAAGGTTTGCTCATGTCTGAACTTACTGGATGTTTCAC